GTTGGAAAAAGGGAAAGAGAAAGAGAAAGAGAGAGAATGAATAGAAGTGTACATTGCTATACTGCAACGCTGGTTATTAAAGGGAAAAGTGCTACATTGGCTAATTGGTCAACCTTGTCACTGGATGATATTCCTATATGAGAAGGTATTCAGTCTTCCCTTCTCTCATAGTCTAGAAATTTGGATATTTCTAGCTACCATGTTTTCTTGACTAAATGCAGTGAGTCTCCAAAGTGCACCCTTAATACAGACAGCTAGATGTCACTACTATTCACTACCTCTTTTAATGGCATGTTATATGGCTATTGACCCAATATCAGTTGTGCCTGCCCTGTTGAAAATTCACACACTTTTCTTTAAGATCAACCTTAGTAATTATGACACCAATCCCTGCTGTTCTATGAGAATCAGTGGAGGTGTCACAGTAGACTGCACTATGATGAGGGTGGAGAATTTTGACTATATATTTTGAGTAATGAGCTTGTAGTTCTATCGTTGAGGTCATGGCTTTGGGTCCAGTTAATTTGTCAATATGAGCAAATATATGAATTCTGTGCCCAGGTGGAGTAAGCACTGTTTCTGGGATGTTAATAGCATCAGTGTTTTACACCTTAAAAATGAAAATAGTTCAAGCAGTTTTGAATTTCCATTCTAAATTGAATTACATCAGACTGAAATATCAAGGCTGGGCACGCCTAACTTCATAAAACAAAAGGAAATTTGTGGTCTGGATAAAAGCTGTAGAAATTTGACTTCTGAGGGAAGGTCTAACTCTTTCCTCATGACATGAAAGTTAGGAGTCATTGGACAGCCAAGCATAATGCTCATGTTTTGTAAGACTCTGAGGGGTTTCAAAGCATTTGGTAGCAACATACCTATGAACTAAGCTCCCACAGTCTATCATGGACCTAAAAAGGGAAATATACATAAAATTTAGGAGTCTTTGGGAGGCGCCCACATATCTGTTACTTACATACTGTAATGGTCTCAAAGAGATTGCAAAGAGAATACACAACTAAGTGTAGACAACACATTTGGAATGCCTAACTCTAATTCAGCATACACACTGTATATGCCTTGGTGCCATAGATTTGCTCTCCTGATCCCAATGCCACCAGAAAAATGTAATGCTCACTTCAGTTTTCTTTAGTGAAATGTCTCTGTACACAGATGGCTCTACAAGTACTCAACTACCAAGGAGTCAAAAAGTAGACCTCTAACATCACCTGATTTCACCTTCCCTTGTGTTCTCATGAAACATGTTATCTTTACAAACACCATTAATGAATTGAAAAACACTCTACCGTGTTGATACTATGGTAGAAAAACACACAATGGACAAATAGAATTACTGAAATAAGTGAGACAACAGTTTCGGAATTGTCCTCCATTCCATCTTCGGTGTCTCAAGTCATAACTTTCAGTCACAAAAACTGTATAGAAAAAATGGACATTTGAATGAACTGGTTCGCCCATACAAAAAATCTAAACTCATTCTCGAAACCTTTACTTTATATGCCAAATAATGATTAATGCTGTAAATTGTATACCTGAGAATAATAAAAAAAACTACATAAGCATTAGCAATATAATACCTACAAGTACTTGAAAAGTAAAAACATGCTCTAGATCTTACCTTATACATATAAATACTTTTACATGTATACACACCCATCATTAACAACTTTCCATCCACTTTTCACATTCCTATACAATGTCTAACACATTTCTTATTATCAAAGCACTGTTAAAATGCAAAACAAAAAAAACGCAACTTGGTAGACAACTATGCATCAACCTTATGTCCATTCTGAAAACACTAACATCAAAAGTACACAAAGGGACCCACCTTGAAGGAATGAAAGATGGCAAAGTGGGTTCTTCTCTGACGTGTCCGACAAATGATATTCTGTGGCACTCTGGATTTGGAGTCGCTGTTGGCTTCTCGTCTGTATCGGTAGTCCTGGAAAAGCCATGATTGATACAATGAATATATTTGTTTGTCCTCTTTTCTTATCATTGTTTTTTGATTCCTTAAGGAGTATGAGTATGTTAGACACATTTATCATCAAAATATCAAGATAAAATTGCAATAGAATAATAATAGTAGTAATGATAATAATAAGAAGTAGAAGAAAGAGAAGAAGACGGAGGGAGGAGAGGAAGAAGGAGAAGAACGAGGAGAGGAAGAAGAAAGAAAAAAGAAAAGGAATAGAGGAATTACAAACACATTCCTCCCTAAGCAAACCAGACACCCAAATACCCACTTGTGGAGCATCCATGCGTGTGAAAGCCGCTGGGGGTAGAAACAAGGGCGCAGGTTGGTTAAGCCAGTCGGCCTTTTCCATTCCCTGAGGGACAAGCTGGTCATAGACACACTCCTGGGCAAGGCCGTCTTCTGTGTTGACTACAGGCACATACTGAAAGTCGCACAGATCTGTTGGTAAGGGGAGAAAAAAGTGTAAAATGAATGGCTGTATAACTGGTGTGTATAACTGGTAATTGTAATAAGAAGAAAACAAAATACTGGATGATGTGACAATGTGAATTACTGTCTATAATTTTTACTTTATATCAACTTGCAAGCACATATATGTAACCCAATTGACAAAAGATTCTTACATTTTGGCATTCAGTGACCTAACCCACACATTACAGAAAAGGACAAAGCAGCCACTTACTGTTAAACTTGTACATAGTATGAACAACGCCTATGAGTTCTGATCTCACTGAGGTGCTTGCGTCTCCTTCCGGTGGGCTCGGATCTTCGGCACTACTCCCAGCAACTGCCTCTGGAACTGAGATTACTAAAATAGTGAAGGTGTGAGCTTGCCATGAGATGATGCGATATTCCAAAGAGTAATATTCATTCCATAGGTTTTGTGTATTTTGTTGCAAATTTCGTGATCCTATCAACTGCAAATACATATAAAAACTTCAGAAACGGTATCTAAATGGTATAAATTATCATCAAAGGAACAAAGTGGTAAATAAAAAATATTCCACTAGTTACTTGTATTTCCGTTATCATGATAGTACACTATTGACTGCTAAAAATAATAATAAATATTCAACTGATTTTCTGTATTCCTTTCATACTTCTGGAACAGTGATGGATAACTACTTACATAAAAATAGAAATAATAAGTAAACATTTAAGATACCATACCCTTTGGATCAGCCTCTTGTTGTTTCTTTTTTTTCTTCTTTCTGCGGACAACACGTAACAGCAAGGCCGTGGAGTTGTGTTGCTCTCCGCAGGTGGGTTTGCAGTACACATCATCAGGACGGAAACGCAACTCCATCCTTCTATTATCCTCACAATACACCTGTTGGTATGCAGTATGGTATCATGTCTGTTTATGCAAACTGCTGCTTGTTTCAGAAAACAATAAATACAAGAAGACTCGACAGAAACACACTTCCACACTACACACTTGAGAGAGAGAGAGAGAGAGAGAGAGAGAGACAGAAGAGAGAG